ATGTTCTCTTGTACATACAAATTGAAACTCATATCCCAAAATAAACGCACTTAAATTATCCAGAGAAATTTATTGTCGCGTGAAAATCGAATGATTCCGACAAAGCTTCGAGATCTCGGTTGCATCGGAAGCAGAAATTGGAATGTCGGACAATTCGGATTCCTTGGCCGTGAGATGAGTCGGAACGCGAGCGTGAACTTCGAGGAAAACACAGTGCTGGTTTGGCCTTGAAATGCAAACCCGAAATCGAGAGAAGCGGCGACAGCGATATCGGCGGATATCGAGATCAACGAAATTCGAAGCCTTCGTGCTAGACGAAACGTCAGGTCGAGGGATCGTTGACGGATCGCGAGTTGGAGAGATGGTAGCTCTCGTGGAAATTTGAGAAAAGCCGGATTCGGAAACATTCTCACTCGATGAATTGGTTGAATCGAACGGATTCAGAGTCGTAGCGATTGAGAGAGGAATTCCAGTCGTGAGAACGGAGATATCAGTCGTGGAGCTCGTCGATGAACCGACTGTGGAGAAAGCGGCTGTGGTGATTGGGGTCGTACTGGAAGTATGATAATACGCCATGGTGGAGCGAGTGGATTCAAAACATTGGTGTGGTAGTTTTGTAAACTGGACTCGTAGCGGAACGAGTGATGCTTTGCCGGCGCCGACTAGATGAAGAGGATGCGGTCACAGTGGATAAAGGGTGCCAATGGTGAGTAGTGCTTCGAAACGGACTGCGTGTTGATGTTGAAACATCCGCAGCGGAGCGATGGGTACCCGACTCACGAGTGACGGATCTTTGGGCGTCTGTTAATGGATGGAGCGGAGCATATCTAAGGTGATGGGATTGCACTGAAGGAATAATCGATGAGTCAAATGTCTGAGATTCCGCGGATTTTGGAGTTGTAGGAAGCTGAGGAATTTTCGTAGAGCTCGATGAATGAGTCGAGGTGATATTGGAGATGGAATCGGTGGATTCACTGGCCACGATGAATCCGATTGCTGTCAAAGGAAACTCAACTAATTGTATGAAAATTAGGAACGATAAATCCTCGGAAAACTCAGACATACCAAAATATACGGAGACCGCGATTATTAGGAACATCACTAAGAGCGCAGAAAACACTCTAGCGCACAGAGGAAACGATCGAGAGGCGCAGGATGAACGAGATGAGGGGAGAGCCGACTAGATGCGCCCAATTTTCTGCCCCGCTCCCGATTCGTTTACGGGGTGTCAACTCCAACCGTGAAACGAGCTGAGCTCATGGAGCACTGATTCGGGGGCTTCCGAACGTGGGGTACTTTCTATTACTCCTAGGGTGCATCGCAAAAGTACGAATCCGCTTCCTGGTATCGGAGTCCTCCTTCCGCTGCTGAAATCTGGTTGATTCTGGACGAGGCTGGATCAATAACTTTTTTTCGGAAGCATTCCGTTCCACTTCGAGATCCCGTTCCATTCCCGAGCCGCTCCAGCGATCGCCTGAGGGTGATACCTTCGCCCCCGAGAGAGAGTTCCCCCGGATAGCGCCTGATGCTCTAAGGAAGCTCCGATTATTGGGCGGAGGGAGGCTCTGCCAGGGAGAATCATATTATGCAATGCCGCTTGACCCTCGATCATGTGATGTGTGCCGACCTCGCGTCGGACACAAACAAACATAAGCACGGTGAAAAGAGTCTTCTTGCCTACCGTCGCCGATAGCGGTGAGCGAACGCGTGACCTTGACAGAGCCTCCTCTCACGCGGCGCTCGCCTCAACGGACATATCCGCGAGGATCGCGTTCCGATGCGGGCTCCTCGGCTCGAATCGAAAGAAGACTGCATCCCTTCACGAAGTTTTCCAGGATAAAAAATCGTGAGTCGAGCACGGCTTGCTGCTTTGTAAACTGTGGATATGAGTGAAACATCGGGATTCGGCCGTGCCGTCGGCTCAGCTGGGCTCAGAAACGGGTCCATTGAGATGTACCATGAACTCCGTCTCACACCGCGTGATCGGACCTCCTGGGCCTTCGGGGAATGTTGCGGACGATCGCCTCCGACAGATTCCGCCCTCGGAGCTCTCCGAACGTTCCCGGTGCCACGGATTCAGCATATGCATGTACTCAGAAGCGTCAACTCCACTTGTACGCTGCACGGGAAATTGAAAATCGGAAAAAAACGATTTTCGGCCTCTCCGAAACACGTGAGATAATGAGCTCTCCCCAGAGGTGCCTCCGACTCTTGAGAGCCGCGAAGACCGCTCGGCGTTGATGACATGATAGAAGCAGGGAGCTACTCCACACTGCGAGTCTGACGCTCTCACGTGGGTGCGAGGCCTTGACGAGAGCGCTACTTAGCTCGACTTCTCTTATCTTCGTGGCCGACCGCTCGAGACGGACAACACGAGACGTTCACGATGATATAGACGCCGTCGAGGCAGCTCCTCCTTCCTCAACGGATATTCAGTTGCGTGCGGCAGGCCATCCTCATTTTGCGGATACTGGGATGACTTGGGAGGAAGAATCCGTCTCATTCTCAAGGTTTCTAGCCAACGAGCTCAGTTGTCGGGGTGCCCCGCGGAGTCTGAGAGCACTAGCTCCGAAGGGTTTCCATGGTCGAGCCATCACGGAGCCCTGGAATTCGACCCACGGCATGAGGATAATTGCATCGGGCAGTTCCTCTCGGAAGATTTCTGGGGCATCGTACGAAGAAAATCGCCTCGATGACAGTCGTCGAGCAAAAAGTGTCACCCAATTCTCCGTGGTGCCGGTCGGAGCAATCGAGGACAAAAGTATATTTGTTCCTTATAGATCATTGCCAGAAGCCCCCCCCTAGAGCCGAGCGGGGCTTTCGGATCGGGAGCGGCCGCTGCAACTCATATACGATTACGGTTGGACGTCTCCGCACGGAAATGATACCGCAGCGAAATCACAGAAGCTGAGAGAGGGGAAGCGTGCTGAAAATCATGGCAGAGGAGGATCGTCCTTCGAAGAACGGGCGAGTGGAAATCACTCTGTGTTCGGCCGTCGGCAGAGCGCTCAATCAACTTGGCAGAACCATGAGGTAAGTCGGTCTTGTCTCCATGATGAGATCTGGCCCCGGAGCTTCCTTCCGAACTCAGGCAACTCCCGAATCGCCTCCTGTATGCAGAAATCACCGGGACACGTAGATTCAGCCCGCGATTGATTGAGGACCTCAGAAGAATCCGAATCGAATGACTCGCGATTCGACTTCGTATTGCCCCGATCTTCAGCTCCGTGATTCAACAATTACCGAATGCCCGGGCAAGAGATAAAGCAATTAGGGCTCAGTGATCTCGTCTAATAAGTTGAGTCGATCGCTTAACATTCCGGAGCATATGCCGGAAACGGGTGTGCGAGCGACTCAATTTTGGAGAGCACTCACACCCTGAGGGTGAATCTCGGGCTCACGGAATCAGTATAATTTCGAAATGATCGCTCTTTGTATATGCTCTCGGCGCGTATGAAAACGAGGAGACCATCTGCGGCTCTAGAATAGTAACAGGCTCACCGCTGTGTAGCACAGTCAGAATGCTCTCACAATCAGCTCTATCACGAAGGACCTCCGATCTTTTTAGGAGAATTTCAATAGGATTCGCGCTCATGCTCAGCTTGCTGATCACGGGCGCTCAACTTCGACAACTACCTGATGGCCTAGCTGACAGAATCGAGACCTTGAGGCAGGTCCATGTGGTGAGCGTCTCTATTCTTCACTCCGATATTCATAAGACGGATGATCGCTATCGATACGTTTCGAGTAAAGTCCCTTACTTCGAACGAAGTTTTCGAGCCCGAGAGTCCGTTCGATGCATACAGTCTACAATTCCGTCCTCTCGGTGAGTGTTGTCATTGATCAGACTCCACGGCCCAGTTACCTGATCTGCGAGCCCAAGAGCCTGGCAGTGACCCAGTGTCCGGCTGAACGCAGCGCCGGATGAAGGAGCTACGCTCACCTCCTGAGAGTCATGCTCAGTGATGTGAATTTTTCGCGGCGACTACAATTCCCAGCAGTTTCTCCCCGATTCCCGTGAAATTAGTCCTCCCTGCAGTCGATGATGCGACGAACTTACTCCAATAACCTCAACGGAATCTCCTCCCAGATACTGGAACTAGGCTCCGAGAAACTAAGGTGTCCCGAACCTCAACAGGGCTTTGTGAGACCCGGCAAAGGCTTGAGCTTGGCCACGAGCTCGGAGCTGTGCCCGGATCGAGACTCGCTTCGAGGGTCCAACTTGCGAAGCGTACTCGTTCTATTCTCGCCGCGGATTCGGAGCGGATTCTGCGATTTTCCGGGCTTTCGGGGGAACGCCGGGGTTCTTCGCTAACTTCGAGTTTCCATTCCGCGGCACACAGCGACTCCATAGATGTTCGGCCGTGATAATTTAACATCCTCGGAACACAATCAGCTTACATTCAGCGTCCTCCTATCGTATTTCAGTTCTTCCGACATGGGGAGCGGATGCCAACGTCGCTATACCCAACGGACCCCAATCAAGTTTCGGACTTCAAAGACGGTCTCGGCAGGATATCTATAGTGAGTACAGACGCGCCCCGCGACATTCGTAACAGAGATTGCAACGGTCATTCTCTAAGAGTAGACACACCACCTCTCTCTTCTTTCGGCAGCTTTTTGGAAAAACAGAACGGAGAAAGAGTCCTGAGGAGCACTCGTTGAGCGTGCCGATTTTCGCAACGCAGAGCGTCGAGCTCGTCAAGATCGTTCCTTGAGAAAATGCCGATCTCTGACTCGTGGGTATCACTCGTACACCTACCGACTTGCCGACTACATACCTTTCCGACGATGTCGTGTCAGTTCGACTCGACACCTACCCAGGGAGGCCGCCGCAACTTTCCACGATCTTTCTGAGTTCGCTCGTCTCGTGCTCCCCCCTGTGATCGGGGAATGAGAATTGAAGTGAAACCGAGCCATTTCCGATTCCACGTGCTCCATTGAGGCATTCATAAGGCTTCACTTCGCAACTCTATGATTCCCCGTGTGTTGAGATTTCCTTGTATCAAATGTGTGTCAATAGGCACAAGCCGGCTGGATACAACAGCCTCTCACTCCTTCTCGAAGACGTGCTCTGTGTTTGCCTCGAGATCATCGGGTAAATCGGGGAGCTTCCTCGAGCGCAGAGAATCCATGCGGCGAGCGTGAGTTTGAAGAGTGAAAGTGTTGATACATATGGAAACAGTCGTTCCGCTCCGCGCGGGACAGAGAGACAAGAGAAATCCAGCTGGATATTGAGGGGGCAAAGCGCAACACAAGCTACATTCACTTTGAAGTTGACACAGTGAGGGAAAAAGAAACTCTTCTCTACCACGACGCCGTGTCAACAAACTCCCGGGAGATTCGTCGTGAGATTTTTGTTTGTATTTATGCCTTGCATTTCTCGAGCGACAGTCGGATGACAGATACCCCCCCACCCACAACCGGCGAACTCGTCCATTCGTGCCATTGCGAGCTACTGACACGCAGCGGGGAGACACTCCGCATCCATCCAATTAATTATGGTGACTCCTCAGTTTACGCATCGGGAAGACGAAGAGCCGTTGTCTTTTTAGGCGAATTCTGCGGTCTCTGTCGCGGGCCCGAGAGAATTCAAAGATGCTTCGGTCTCCTAATCCTCTGAATTTTCGGGTTGACAACTTTCGCCGACGGCGATATGCCATTGTCTGAGCTTTTTCACTAAGCGTGATCGATGTGGTGCGGGCTATTGAGAAATCTCCGCGGCAACAAGCGGATCTCACAGCGTCTATAAGCGCGAAGTCGGGCGCTGGAAAGAAACTCCAGAGCATCGAACCGAAGAAAATATTCTGCGGATTGTCTCGCAGATCTTCATAGAAGTCGCCGAGCGCCATTCACAATATAATCCGTTCATGAGCGGAGTTCCATTGTAGTCCGAGCTCACAAGGAAGAACTTTTCAGCGCGGCAAACGCGACCAATACGCGCTGGGACAACAGCTCCGCGGGCGGTACCAAGGTTTTCTGAGCGCAGATACCAATGAAGTGAAAGCCAGAAGTTCTGGAAGGGATCGTTGTCTGGAATCCATGGAAGTAACTCTGGCCGCTCTCTACGAGCCGGACGAAAAGAGGACTTTCGAAAACAGTCTGAGATGGCAACCGGTTCCTGTACAGACTATGCCTGTGGACATCGATGGCGTGAGTCAATTTAATTACATCTTGAAAAATCGATCTTGAATAAGAGCTTCGGGAACGACGACTGGAGCGCATTCCTGAATGATGTGGAACGCCTGTACGGAGTCAACCGAACTCCCGCTTCTGAAAAGAATTTCGAAGATGATGTGCCGAGCTGTTTTGGGACCCGAGCTCTGCAGCTTAGACCCCGTGCCTGGATCTTGCGAACCTCCGCTTTCATTCCAGATGCTGTACGAAGACTCGATCTGCAGAAAAGACGATGAAGCCATCGAGAGACTGCGGACAACAGGAGAAGGGAAGAGAGTCCTGACTGAATTCAAGGTACGAGCGAAATCGAATTCGTGATGGGAAAATATTGGTGGATGTTCCATAGAATGTCGGAGCCGCCGCGCCGGCTCCTTGTACAAGCGACACATGGTGTTCCAGGATCTGATGTCTAAGCTACAAGAAAAGTCCGGCAAGAAAATGAAGGACTGGGTCAGTGTCCGCGATCTGCTCGACACCCTCACCATCGAGAGTAGCCTGGGTTTAGAAATCCCCGATTGGGCGGATTCCGAAACTCTGAAAGAAATGGAAGCTTGCGCCAAGTACACGACGCTCCTGAACTACGAACCAGATGAAAGAATCAGGTTCCGCGCCGGACTTCTCCTCAAGGATATTTCCCTGCATTTCGATGACGTCGTGAACAATGCCCGTAAACACAAACTCTACATGTACGCTTCGGTGAGTAGAGAAAGCAAAGTACCTACATATAAAGCCCGAGTTCTCGGAAAACTCGAAAAACATTTTCTCTTTACAGCATGATGTGCTGGTGGCGGCATATCTTTCAGCGTTTGACTCTTTCAATGGGTTGGCCGTGCCATCGTCGACTACCGTGATCACCGAGCTCTACGAGGATTCTCCCGGAAAATTCCGGGTGCAGATGCTCCTTCGGAACGACACCGAGACTGCCGAGCTGAAACCCGTTCACGTTCCAGGTAATCCAATCACCCCACACATTGCCTTCACCAATTCACATGCATTTTTTTCCCAGATTTCTGATTCCTAGACAGATGTCCGACACAGTTCTCGCTAATAGTCCACTTTCCAATTTTCTCAGGGTGTAAAATTCATGGCTGCACTTTGGATGAGTGGAATCGGAAAGTATCCCGCTTCATTCCGATGGACTGGAGGAGCGAATGCGGAGAGGATGCATTGCCTATAAAGCTGTACGATCGGTTCTGAAGTCGACTCGTCCGATGCATACAGCCTGATTGGATGGGGTTTCCAGGAATAATTATTGAAGTTGCTGATCGATCGTCCCGCGAGTCTCCTCAGGAAGATTCGACATTCGGGAAGCGATAAATAAAGCTCCCCGCATTGCATCCATCCTCAGGCCGCTCATTCCAACAGAAAATGTGATTTCATGGCCCGAGAGACTTCTTCATGATGAGATCTCGATCCGAAGATTTCTTCTGTTTCCTCCCTGCGAAGCTCGGTCGTTCTCCGTCAATGATTCGGGAATGGCTGGGAATGGGGCGATGTTGTTCGCTGTTACCTGATAGCATCAGAGCGATCTGAATGTCGTGTCCGGGATGACCGCCATTGCGAGAATGGGTTCGGACCATTGGCAAATAAAACAACTCCACGACAAGCGATCTGCACCCACCATTTTCGTAGAGGGTGACCGGTATCCCCAGTCCCTTACTTCCCGTTCTCTATTCGGCTCCCAAAGGAATTCGATCTTCTCCTCGCTGAACCATTCTCACCAGACTAGACGCGTTCCGGCCCCAAACGCGTCCCGGCTCCATCGGATTGTTTCCGCGTCACGTCATTGAGAGGAAAAAGCGAGAGTATGGGCAAGATGAAGGCCAACACTCCTCTAGGCCGCGGCACCATAGCCTCAAACCCCGCGAACATTTGTCCGGTCATTTGCGGGGCAATTCTGTGGAAAGTGGAGTGAAGTGCCGCCTGTAGTCCCGGGCTTGTGACTGTAGTCCTGTCTCATCACCGAATTCTTTCTTGTCTTCGATTCTGCTCCGACAGAGCCGAAACGAAAAGTATCATGGCTCACCTATGTTGTTTCTTTTTTGATGAGAGTTTCGGGGTCACTTTTATGGGCATGGAGAGGAGGACGAACGAAGGAGATGCACCGGAGACGATGACTGGGAGCGAGCTCGGAGAGTCCCTCGGTATCGATGAGGGGGCAATAGGAAGCCATGGAGCAGTTTTTTATCCTCCCGGTCTCTGGAGACCATACGTTATAGCTGGCTTATCTATATTATTCAGCATACAGATGGATGGATGAATGAAAGCGATTTGTTTGTATATACATATCCAAGTGCAACCTTGACGTGCAAGTTCACGAACTCGCGTCACTGCCCGCCTAATGGTTGACGAAGTATCGAGACTACCCACTCTGAGGAGTGGGCTCAGACGGAAGCTAGGAAGTTGCTTTGGATTCTATTTGAATGGGTTGAATCGTGGACAAAAGGTATCGTGTTTCTTTGAGCTCTGTTCAACTGCCACCTGCAACAAATCCTTGGAGGGTGTGTCTGGTCGCCGCCGGAGATATCGCGTTACAGGCTCTCGATGTCAACTTCAGTGCTCGTTTTCTACATTTCAATGCGATCTCATCATATGTCAGTCGATGGGTGAACGGGCGGGCGGACGAATATACCGACTGGCTGTCGAGCGTCAGACGAGACACTCAAGAAGAAAGGCTTCGCCCAAGAACTCTTTTACCACGCCCCAGAGGATTTCAAACATGGGGTCAGACATCGGAGGCATTGCATTTGTCAATCTGAAGTGAATTTTCGAGCGAGAGAAAAGGTCTTGATACCGTGACGAATGCCTTGAAAGCAATGCCAAAATAAAAAAACACTATCTCGAGCTACGATTGGGGAGTAGACAGCGCTGAGAGCCGGTTTGGCATCTCCTCTGCTCGAAAATCTCTCCTTCAGTCAGAGACCGAAGATCTCCAAGACGGCGGTCGAGGTCTATCCCTGACTACTCTGTGACGATCTCGGTGAGGACTCCACTCGATCATCCACAATGATTCCTCAGAGATTGAGTGGAGAATCCTCCCGTGTATCATGTCGACTGGTGAGTATCTATAGGCCGGAGAAAGCCGTTCAATGCGCCAATGGTTGTGAGACATTATCTACAGCTCCGCTCTCATCCCCGATTTCGATTTATTCTATGATTTAGGGGGGAACCGTGGTCGCGGAAGGAGCCCTCGCATCCTCTCTGAGGCGTCTGAGAGATGAGAATTTATGCTCAGAACAGGTCCGACCAGCGTAGGCCAAGAACTCATTCCTCCGATCACTCTCTCGCTTTCATCCTAGAGCCCCGCCGAGGACAATAAAAAAAGCTCAACTCTATGAAATAGATTTCCCTGAGCCAGTATCGAATTACGGAGCCATTTAAAAATCAGTAAATTGTTGTCGTCGTTGTTCCTGTCGATGTCAGCCACAGCCCGAGGGAGGCTTTCCGAGGAGATTGTATATGACGGCTATTCAAAAAGTCAGTAGGGATGAATATCTACTGCAGGCGGCATCGTGGAGGGTTCGGTTCCGAGCCCACTTCTCTCTTTTGTTCCCAACATTTCGATGAGTATATCTCTTTCTCCGTTCTGCGCCCGAAACTCGGCTTTCATTACTCGAGTTTACTTGCTTTCTCGACTCAGATTTCAAGGCACGATCTTCATCCTATCCCGAGCTCCTAGAGTGATGTTCCTATGACTTCCCCGCAGCGATCCCGACCAGATTCAGGCACCAAGAAAATCTCTCCATCTTCGGAAGGGTCATTGATTCGGGAGCCCTGAATTTTCCCCTGTTTGCCTTGAAAATTACCGGATATCGCCCCCGACGCGGGGTTGCCGGAGCATAAAGATGGTTGAGTGCGACAGATAAGTGATGACAAAAAGATGTACCACCAACTGTCGGATCCTCGCTCGAGTTCTCGAGGCATAGCGGGCTAAAAATGAGGGGAAGGAAAATTGCCGAACTCACCGTTTTGTCCAAAATTCATACTTGACTGCATCGTCGAATTGTTATACAGAGCTCCGAGCCGAGTCACGGTCTCGTAGTTCTCGATACCAGCTGGAGGTCCCCAAGATGATTGGCCGCACAGCAACTTCTCGCAAAAATTACAGCAAACTCCAAACACCGACCTGTTGTTCAACGATGGATGTAGTAAGCCAATAATTGAAAAGGGCGTGGATGGACTCTGCTTGGTCCCCTTCAACAAGCAGGCGGACGAGCAGACCCCAGACGGACGGACCGAGACAAATGACTTACAAAATGCTTTCAACACAACATCTCCATGTTTGGGAGCCCACCCTTGAAACAATAACGCACTACATATAGATCTCCACCTTGGCGAGGATTTCTCCCGCAGATTCATAAGGGAAAACATCACGTCGATGCCTCTTAAGGGAGCTCCCGGGATTCCGGATTTCCGAGGCAACTACCTCGAATGCTGTTTTCGTGGAAAACACCGGAATCTGGGTCCCGGAGCTCCAATCATCGAGATCCGAAGATTTCGAGTGACAATCCCTGGATTCCTTGTTTTCTGCATGTCGGCAAGCGACTTATCGCGAGTTCTCCCTATTTCTCCCCGGTCCTAGAACGTTTACTGCCGAACTTGAGAATATTTTATGAGCCTAGCTGTGCTCCGTCGTCGGTCTAATTTCTTCTCTTTTAGTTTTTGCCTGCTACCGAGAGGCGGAACATCGCTATTGCCCGCCGTGAAAAATTTTATTCGTGCTTATAAATACTTCCAATTCTTCGGTGGTTGTCGTCGTCGACTGCTCGCATGTTTGTGGCGTCGTAAGATGAGCGCCGTAGTGGTTGGTAGTCGTTGTTTTTTTGCTTAGGGGGCGGACAAGTCATAAACAATTTCAAAAACTCTGCACCTTGCGATCTTTCGTTGGAGGACCGAAAATAATTCTTCGCGGGGATGACAAGTGAAAAAAATTTACGATATCCCCTCCCCTAGCGGCAATTCCGAAACCACACGCCAAATTCCTCCTGCTCCTCCCATTCGAATCTTCCGACGAGACTAACCGGGCTGTTAGGTATTCCTCTACAACATCCCCGCGATATATGTACTTCAAGATCGACGGACTGCAGCAGAACTCGCAAGGGATGCTGACAGCTAGTTGCCCTGACAGGCGCTCGCACTCGGTCATCCTCTCATCCTTGACGCCATTTCTTCATATTCCGACTCCTATTTCTACCCGCCAACACTTCTCTGGCTTGAGATTCCTCATTGTCACCGGCGCTTTTGACTTCTCCGGACAACAAGTCATCTCACTAACTAGGAAACTCCTCACGCGTCAAGCTACTGGAGCAAGACAACCGAATCCCTCGAGGTTCCAACGCGCCAGATGAGTCATTTCGTCATAAAATGTCAGCCAGTCTAAATAGTAAACTGTGTTCAGTAAGCTGCGAGCATCGATACAAAGCAACGGTCAGGCGATGAATGCCCTCATGGGAACCGCGATTTATGAGTTAGGCGTGCGGCCACATGATGTCCTCGTCAAAACTCGGAGCCGCTGCGCCGTAGTTCCTCGAGCCGCAGCTCAGACCTGATGGGACAGGAAAGCAGCCAAATAAAGTCGCGTTCCTCTTCCCCAATATTAAATGAATACTGTCCTTTCGCGCATTTGCGAAAACTTCGGAGTTCGTAGCCATTAATCGTCGCGACACACTCCCCGACGAACAACGGAATCGTGTGATCTTCAACACGATCGTGAAACCAGAGACTGATCCCTTGACATCAACTCCCTCGACGAGAGCTCGCCCGGAATCAATCGATCCTTACGCAGGATAGCCCCCCCCGAGCTCCCCACGGACCTTGGAGATCCCGAGCAGCACCTGGCCATCGCTCTTGGACGTCTGGGGCTTTCCAATGAGAAGAACTTCTCCGGGAGCATCGAAAACGGTAACTTCTCTCCACTAGAGCGCGTCTCCCATCCTGAAGGGAACAAAACGAAAGAACAGTCAGGGTTTCAAACGTGAATTGACGTACACATCTGTGGACACTTTGAGCGACATCACGCAAGAGTAGTCGGAATGAGTCGAACGCAAAGATGTCTCCGGTCCTTTGGGAATCGGATGCGGAGACTTATTGTTTTTTTATGAACACCATCGAAGCTCCGGGCATCTGAGACGGTCGGGTCTCTTTCTCGGTGGTTTCTCTCTATCTGTCCGAGGATTGGAGGGAATGCGTGGAGAGAGCATAAACTTTGCATTCCTCATCCTCGTCGCCGGCAATGAATCACTGTCCAGCTCGAGTCTGCCCACTGAACTCCCTTCGTCCTCCTTGAACGCAGCCACCGGTTGTCTGAAATCAAATGAACAGCCTCTCGTATGTGA